TGTGTCCGTGAGTGTTCCTCTGAATACGTTCTACAGTTGGCATATATCTATTTGTTATAATATATTTGTTATATCTTTTTTATCTTATTTAAATACGGTTTGACCTATTCATTTTTTAATGTTTCGATTTTTACATATATTTAATTGTATACACAATACTTTATATAGATATAATAGAATAAAATAAAAATATAATAGAATTATATTTATTTAGTGGCTACATATAAATATATTAATATTAAATATACATATATTTTTTTAAACGAGACTTTTACAATATACGTTCCTTCCATTTACCGGAGACATTAAGAGGATGCTGAACCGTCCTGTTTTATCAGAAAAATAGTAAAACGTCTGAATAATGACTTTTGTCAAATGTACTGCACAAATAAGAAAACGGTTCTCTACAATAAAAGAAAACAGTGTAACAAGTCTCGCCAGATAATAAATGTTTATGAAATGGAAAATTTTTTTTTTAAGAAAATTGACTACCTTACATTATCAAGTATGTCTAGAGATTTAACAGTGTATATGTCACAAAACACACTTTGGCCCGCTAGATAGAACCTGTAAGAATATTACAAAAGTATTAAAAAACTTTGAACGCTTGCAGGAAGAGAAAGTATTGAACCTGTAAATTGTAGACACAAAGATTATTTTTCTTGTCAAAACACTGTACGAAGCACTACGTAGTTCCCAAACTTTGCACCAGAAGAGAAAGACATACGTCTATCATTGTCTTTTTTATGTCATCTATCCTTGTTTTTGTTTGACTCGATCCCGAGAGATGGCGCCAGCTACCCGACAGCGTAGCTGCTAAGTAGCATTTGTGACAGACTTTCTTCGTCAGTTCAGCATCCTCTTAATAGATCCATCTATTAAACACATATATACATATACACTTGTTATTTGTCAACGTTAAATATTAAGTAAATGGCCAATACTTTTACGTTTTGAGAAGAAAATAGGAAGGAAGAGTAGTTACATTATCGACACGACGTAGTTGTGGACAACCGATTGCTACTAGTTAATTCGCACGACGCTCGTTGGCGCCACGAGCAACCGCCCCGCTTGTCCCCCGATCCCCGCGCCTATTCCGCGATTCATTGACGCGTTGTATATATATACATATATATGTATATATTTTATATATGTATATATTTTATTTTTTATACATTTCTAAACAATTTTGAAATATTTTACATATGGCAACGTGCCTTGTTTAACTTGTATGAGATACGTTACTGACGCCGTAATTTCGCACATGCGCGTACAACCGGTCCCATATCGGAACACTGCTCTCTGCTCGATCTTGCAACTCTGACTGGCGAACTCTATGGACCAACTGAGTAGGTCTACAGAGCCATAATTGCAAAGAAGTAGAACATATCTTCCATTAAAAGATTTTTTACCTTTGAAAGTCTTTAACACTTTAATAAGCTTCGCGAGGCAGAGCAATTTCTGCTAGATTTACATTTTATATAAGAACGCGTTGATTGGACTTACAAAGTAATAAGGTAAATAGGTAACCTAAACAATTACCAATTATTCTTTTACAACTTACATGTAAATAGAAGTTTCTTATATAACATCACATTTCAAAAGTATAGGGCTAGTTTTACCATCTCTGATTAAGTTAGGCCAGTATCAATTCTGATCAAGTCTGCTACATACCTATATAATGGGTGCTTTCCAGCTATGTACACTGGCACCACTGTGCATCCACTAGTGTGAGTGAAACATACTGATATGCTCTTTCTCACACTAATGGACACTGTGATACACAGTGTCGCCTGTGTATGTAGTTGGAAACCATCCAATATTATTAATCAATTCTCATAGATTACTTGGCTGACTATTAAATGAAGATGGTAAGATAATGTTTAAACTGATAAAATCTGAAAGTTTTTATCTCATTCTGTATATTAACAAAAATTTATGTATATGTGTATATATATATATATACTTTACTAAACTTTGAATGTCTATTTTCAGCAACTAAATAGGCTTACAACAATTGATTTAAGATTTGTTGATATTTACTATCATGTAACTAAAAGTTTTTGGTGGATTTTATTAGCTTAAGCTTTCAAATACTAGTAATAGCACATGAAAAAAAATACTTAATGTTGATTTAAGTGCAAGGTAAAACTATAATGGGCGCTTTCCAGCTATATACACAGGCGACACTGTGTAACAGTGTTTATTAGTGTGAGAAAGAGAATATCAAGGTGTTTCACTCACACTAATGGACACTGTGTTACACAGTGTCGCCTGTGTATGTACCTGGAAAGTGCCCAATATCTTTTTTATGACATAATTTAAATATGATTGCAGAAGTATGTAGATGTCTTTAAAACAATTTATTACATGTTACTAACATTATACTAGTAGCTGTAAATAAATAATATTAATAGTTTTGTTTAACATATTATATATTGTATATATATTATATATTGTATATATGGTTTTTAACTATATGTAAGAATTATATACGTATATTTATAAAAATGTTATACATATTTAAAAATATAAAAAAATAAGCTTTCTCTATATTATTATGGTAATTACAGATGGTTATTATAGATGAATATATTTTTACAGCAAAAATGAATACTGGTTTTCTTCTTAGACGAATACATCAAGTGATTAATTCAGTCACGTCAATGACAGTGAAACTGTCAGTTGAAACTGTTCAAAATATTGTCTCTCGCAGAATTTGCTACATACATAACAGACAAATATTAACTCAAGCAATAATTAACAACGATACATCTGCTCTTTTGCAACCTCTACTACCCATGTATTATTTAATACGTGGTTTGAAAGCTAAGGGTCGCTTACAGCTTCGTTGCAAAGATTGTTATTTTATGTGCAAAGAAGATAGGTGGTTTGTAATGTGTAAAACACATCCTAGACATAAACAAGTAAAGCAAGCAAAGAAAGAACATAAAACATGGATTTTAACATTTGCTTCTCAAAGTAAAGTTAGAGATTGGTAATATACACACCAACACATATGTAAATTCAGTGTACATCTTTTGAAATAAACTGCTACATAAATTATAACACAATATTATGTATTATATAATATATATTCTGAATATAGTGTTATAAGTTTTGACACTTTATAAAGGATATTATTATAAATTGTAATATTTATAGAACGTATCTTGGCAATGGAAACGTAAAGGGTATCATCGTGGACTCATCGGCATTTATTTCGTTCCATTCATTATTTAGTTTGGCAGACTCTTCTTCCCATAAGGTTCCATGTACGAAAGGCATGGTGCCTAGCCACGTCTGAATATAAAAAATAAAAATAAACTATAAAACTTAGTTTAATAATTCAGAGATATTAAGAATTATTCAGAATAGATAAAAGAGATATTAAATATTATTCAGAAAGATAAAAATTTACTATTCGGTCTGCAAAGAGTTCGACGAATTTGTGTTTATTTAATTCATTTTAGTTTAAACTAAAAGAATCCACCCGAGAAAAAGCGTCATATTCTATAAAACAAAAGTTATAATTACAGATTAAAGTTATACTTTTTTCTTTTTTTTTTTTTAATTGGGTATTTTACGTGCCTGCAGCCATTCTTGGCTTTTAAGACACATTATCAAAGTCAAAAGTTATACTTAAAATAGGAAGCTTTCCAGCTACGGCTGCTTTCCTTTTAGGAGACACAGTTGACACAAGAGTCATTCTGTCTTTGTCTCTCACTGAATACTGAACGAAGGCTGCTTTCCTTTTAGGAGACACAATCGACACAAAAGTCATTCTGTCTTCATTCAGTATTCAGTGAGAAACAAAGACAGAATGACTCTTGTGTTGACTTGTGTCGACTGTGTCTCCTAAAAGGAAAGCAGCCTACGTACACAGGCGACACTGTGTAACACAATGTCCATTAGTGTGAGAAAGAGCATATCAGTGTTTCACTCACACCATGGCTGCTTTCCTTTTAGGAGACACAGTCGACACAAAAGTCATTCTGTCTTCGTTCAGTATTCAGTGAGAAACAAAGACAGAATGACTCTTGTGTCGACTGTGGCTGCGTTCCGAAATGTACTGCCAGTACTAGTGGTATGACGTCACAGAAGTGTACTGTAGATAGCGTTCCGTTTTAACTTTATGCACTTTTTCATTACTGCAAAAAGAGAAAACGGAACGCACTAGCAGTATGTTTCCAACAAGTTTCTGTAAGTTACTCTCG